AGAGAAGTGAAGAGGGCAGGTGCTCTGCTTGGGAGAGCGCAGTAGGAGCGCAGGCCCCCCTGGACGCCCCCCCCATGTGCCCCAGGGCAAGGTGTTTGCTCCTTCTGGGCCTCCAGGTCCTCAGCAGCCTTGATTGGTTGTTAAAGCCCTAGATGCCAGGAGTAACAATCCCTGGGGTTCCTGGAGAGGGGTGTGTGTGAGTGGGTGTTGGGGGGGTGAAACAGTGAATCCACGCAGTTCCTCCAAAGACATGCCTGGCAATCTAAGCCTAAAAGGCCAACCATTGAATATCCGAATGGATCGCAGTTCCACCCTGACTCCTCCACAGGGAGTCACTGTGTGTCAGAAAGGACTCCATGACACCCGTTTGGTTCTTCTGTCGTTGACCCCACCAAAGAGGTCTTTTTAAAAACCAGAATCGCGGTGTGCCGGGGTTGTACCGTTTCACCATGCTCACCCAGTCTGTGTGCTGAGCAAATAACCCAAGAAGCTAGACAACGTGAAGAAGAGCTAGCATCGAGGCAAGAGGAAGCGTGCGAACAACTTGCGATACACAGGTGGCGCAGCCTTGCCTGCCAAAAGCCAAGGAACTCGAAGCACTGGCCGAGGAAGATCCAGGAACGCACCTCAGCAGAAAGGAAAGAAGAAAACTCCTCGCAGCTGGACCAGTCCACAGCCCCCCAACAAACGGGGAAAACGCTTAAGTTGCCCAGGATGTCATGCTACTTGGACCCACGGGGACACAGCAGTCCAGAGACAGGCAGTGGGTTACAGGGCCCAAATCTGCTGCCAAGGACCTCTTTAAAGTCTTCCAAAGCACCTTGCGAGGTCACCTTGAGAAGGAAGGTGTGCCTGACCCAAGCCACTGCATATCCAGTCCCCTCCTATGCATGTGAAAGCTACAAACTTAAGAAGGCTGAAGAAGTGAGGCCTTTGAGTTATGGTGTTGGTGACGAATAGCGAATAGATCCTGAACTGCTCAAACAACAACGAAACAAAACAAAAAACTCACAGTTATGGAATCAGTGCTGACTCATAATGACACCCCTCCCCCTCGCCTTGTGGGTTTCCGAGACTGTAACTGCTTATGGGAGTAGAAAGTCCAGTCTTTCTCCCTCGGCGCTGCTGGTGGGTTCAAACTGCTAACCATGTAGATCACAGCCCAACACATAACCACCAGGGCTCCCCCTCTTGGATTGCTAGACGAGCATAAATCTGTCCTGTAGGCAGTACAGTCTCATAGGAAGTACAGCTCCTTAGAAGTCAGGATGGCGAGACTTTGGTACTTTGGAAAAATTATCGGGGGGAACCAGTCCCTAAAGAAGAGCATCATAAAAAAGAGGAAGACCGTTAATAAGATGGATTGGCACAGTGGCAGAGACAATGGGCTCAGAAATAAAAGCCTATGTAAGGATGGAGCCAGACCAAGCAACATTTATATTCTATTATACAAGGGGGTACCAATAAAAGGGCGGGGGCTATGGTGGGCAGAGCTTTCTTAGAACACAGTTTTCCCCTTGCTAGGTGAGCATAAAGCAACTTCCCCTGAATTAGTGCACTGAATTAGTGCACCTAGTGGCATCACCTCTCTGGTCACAGTGAATTTTTTCATAAAAGCAGTTTCATTTGAATCTCATTTTTTATTGTTTTGTTTTGTGGTGGCCAAATTAAGAGAACAGTGTGCAGCTATGAAATTTTGTTTCCTGCTCAGGAAGAAAGCTGCAGAAACTGTTGTGATGTTAAACACAGTTTACAGGGACAGTGCTATGGGAAAAACTCAAATGTATGAGTGGTTTTCCCATTTCATAAAAAGTGAAATGTCAATTGATGACAAACCTCATTCTGGACATCCATCAACTTCCCATACAGGTGAAAATGCCTACTTGTAGTGCATTTGGAGTTTATTCCTCCAGGTCAGACTGTTAATCAAGCTTTCTATTTAGATCTTCTGAAAAGATTGCAGAACAGTGTGTGCCCAAAAAGTGCCTGATTTGTGGTAGGTGGGGGACTGGTTTTGCCACCACGACAGTGCACCTGCTCACACAGCCATCTCAGTGTGCCAGATTTTGGCAAAAACAGCATGCCTCTCTTGCCCCACGTGACCCTCTTCCTCATCTGACCTCTCTCTGTGCGGCTTCGTTTTGTTTCCATGAATGACAAGGGACATGAAGGACAGCAATTTGACGTAGAAGAGGTGAAGAGAAAAACAAGGGAGGTGTTGTCAGCCATCCTAAGAGACGAGTTTGAAAAATGTTTCCAAAAATGGAATTGCGAATTTGACGAATGTATTATGTATAATGGAGAGTACTTTGAAGGTGATGAGGTTGGTTCGTTAAAAAAAAATTAAATACAGCTTTGGAAGAAAAATTCTAGGTTTTTTTTGGGGGGGCGTAGGGAGGGGGAACCCCTTTGTACCAGGAATGTATTATGTATAATGGAGAGTACTTTGAAGGTGATGAGGTTGGTTCGTTAAAAAAAAATTAAATACAGCTTTGGAAAAAAAATTCTAGGTTTTTTTTTTGGGGGGGGTGGGGAGTATGCCCTGGTATTTCCTTTTATTAGTAATAACACTTTAAATCTTATCTTTTTTTTTAAGTCTAATGTCTGTGGGAGTTGCAAGCATTACACATAAACACATAAGCTGCAACACGATATGTAATTTATATTACCAGCAAGATACACAAAAGTGGAAAATCATTAAGTGTGAGCCACTGCATCTCAAACAGGTCATAAATTGGGACTACCTGTAATGAGCAAGGCTATGCATCAAAATCATGGAGACTTTAAAAACAAAGCAACAAAGGGTTCATGAGAGAGGGAAAGTGAGAAAGGAG